CAGGCAGCCATGGTGGCCGGGGGCAGGGGGTTGGTGGTGAGCTCCGACCAGCGGTTGGTTACCAGCTGCAGACATGGCCAGCAGCGTCGGTGGCAGCCAGTGGTGATTGGGAACCACCCATAGACGCCACCGGTGGTGTCAGCGACGAGGGGGGGGGGTGGCAAGTGGCAACTGCCTACAGGTGCCACTGGCAGTGTCTGCAGCACTTTTTGCAGGGGGTGCACCACCAATCTCAGGGGGTGCACATGCACTCGCGTGCACCACCTATGCATTGTCAATGGTTCTTTACAAGGATGCACTATGAGGAAACATTCCAGTTGATTCTCAGGCTAGGGACAGACATTCAAAAAGCCTGAGCATGAACTGAGTTAATCTTTGCAGGTTAGTCTAACCTGGCTGGGCAAATCCAGTTTGTAATCGTACAGACCTCCCCTCTGAAATGCCAGCACATGCCTGCAGTGGCTCAGGCTAGAAGCCGGGGGGTGCTAAAGCAGCCCTCCCTTCCCTTCCACAGTGCTGAGCTGAGGGAGGGTGTGGCCAGGCCCAGGCAGGATGCTCTGATTAGGGAGGGGTATCCCATCCCCCCCAAGCAGCCCAGCAGGGAGTTGATAACACAGTGATTATCACCCCTAACTCAGTCTTTATCAGCCCATTAAGAAAACAACAGCCTTTCTCCATTAGTTGAAGCTCTTCTTAAACAGTTTTTTTCAAGGAAGGAATGGAGGGACATTACCAGTTACCTGCTGATTATCTCCAAAAAGCCCTAAGCCAACACTGTCCTATCTGCCTTTGTCCTGTCTCCCACAGCACAGACTGTATGAAGTCTTAGCCAGCATGTGGTATGCTAGCTAATGCTGAGAGGTGTCTCTGTAAGGCAGGGGGGATCCCTGCTTGAGCAGGGACTGGTGAGGGTGTGGCGGGGGCAGGAGGAAGCCAGGCATACCCTGCTGTATGTGCAGTCTCTGTTGGAGCTGCAGCCAGGGAGCAGGGGGTAAGGACCAGCCAGCTCTCTGGAGCAGAGAGCCCCGCCCAGCCCAGAGAGCATGCCGGGATGCTGAGGGACTCTGATTTAACTTAAACCAGGAAGGGGTCTGGGACAGACGTTGCATAAACCAGTTTGACCCAAACCAGTTAAGTCTGATACTACATTCAATCAGGTTTATCTCAAACCAGTTTCAGCCATTTTTAAACTGGTTTATATGCACTGAACTTTTGTTCTCTTACAGGTTTAAACCAGTTTCTGATCACTTAAACTGGTTTATGTGTAATGTCTGTCCCTGGTCATAGTTTCGGGCCCTTCTGCTTGGGAGAGCATGGAGACTGCATATCAGCCTGGCCTTTACGGAACAGAGATGTTCAGGGGCCATGGCTTTTCCTCTGTTCCTGCAGCCACCCTGGCCTGGATTCTGGCATGTCATGCACAGTGTATTCACACATCAGCCTGCATACAGCATCTAACACATTCATGTTGCCTATTCACACACAGAGGTGCACCTACTGAGCTAGATGCACTGTGCACTCACACTGCCCTGGAAGCTGCTTTTTCACACACTGAATGTAATCATTGGCCCAAATGTTCCACACACCCACACAATCCAAGTACAGACATTCAAAAAAACAAAGACTGAATCATTTCAATCTTTGCGGGTTAGTTTAACCTGCATAGATTGAACAAGAATGTGTTCACACACTGGCCTGGATGGGGCTCAAAGAGCCCTGAACTCCCTGGGTCAGCTTTGTTATGCCACACATTATGTGGCTGGATGCTCCAATTTGACATTTTAAAGGAAAGCATATATTAGATGGGCCACACATGTCTACAAGGAAATGAGTAATGATTGGCATTCACCTGTGAACACTAACATTTGTTCCAGCATTTCTTGAAAATCTGAAGATCAGTTCATACTAATAATAGAACCCTGGGACCTGATCCTGCCTTCTCCCTCAAACTCAGTTGTTTTAAATGGGGTTTCTTCGCTTACTGGGTAGTAATAGGAATCATTACCTAACTGCACAGATCATCTCCTTCATTTTCATTTGCAGTCTGTGCTCCAGTTGGACTCCTGAAAATAATTGTCTCTTTCTTTGCATGGACACGTTTGTGCATCATTACCCTAGGCACATGCTTACAATACACCCTTTGAGAATTCTGCCTTACTCAGATAGGCTAAGGCTGTGTCTATATTACATAATAGATCCTACTTCCATCCATTAGGTGCCTGTGTGCAATATTTTTATGTCTTGCTTGAGTCCCTGGAAAGCTGTTAATATGGCTTTTTTTTTGTAACGAGCCATCATCTTAGCTTTAACATTAAATCACAAAAAACGTGTGGGGAGACAGATGCACGTTTTGCATTAGTGCTTTTTTAAGTACTCAACCAGGCTGGAATAGAATGACACTTGCATACCTAATAAGTTAAATGAGATCTGACCGTAGCTATCTGTAGCAACACCTTCCCACTCTTGCAGCTCCAATGGTGGAAGCCCCAGTATAGACAAAGGTCAAATACAGCACTAAAAAGTTTGGTAGCCCTGACAGCCGTCTCGATAATATGCTGCTGTCATTGTCATCACGAGTCAAATAGAGTCAACATTAGCAAGATTGATTATTTTTGCAAAAACCCTACTGCAAAATTGAAAAATCAAATTCTGCACTTACATATACACAGAGAACTTTGGTGAATGCTGTGTCCAGGTATAGGGGGGGCAGCATTTGAATCTTCATTTATTGCCAATCTAAATTCCAAAAAAGTTGCACTTATACATATGTGTCTGTGTACATAAGTGCACATACGTGTGTGTGTGTGTGTGTGTGTGTGTGTGTGTGTGTGTGTGTGTGTGTGTGTGTGTGTGTGTGTGTGTATAAAATGTCAAGTTTAAAATATGCTCAAAGGGAGATGAGAGGTCAATAAAAACCACTGCAATCTCCAAAACTAGTTTTGCAGTAACACAACCTTTTGGTAAAAGGCTGCTTTTATCCACAACAGGAATTGGAGCAATTACTATGAATCTTCCCCAATAATAATGGAAAAGTTCTTTTAGAATAGACAATTTGCTAGTCCAAGGTAGGCAGCATTAACCAGCAATGGTACGCAATCATCCTGTTCTGCATCTCCAGCAAGCCGGCATTTACTGCAAATACATATTCACCATGGCAGATGGCATGACACCTACTCAGTGTGGGGATGAGTAGTCTCTCAATTATCTTCTGATGATAACATCTCTTCTGATGATATATTTTCACTTCTATCTTTTACTTGTTGTTCAGAAGACAAGGTGTCAAATGGCTAATAGCTTATGAGACCGTGGAGGGAGACACTGGTAAAAGGAAAAGCTGAGGGTGAATTTCTTTTCTAGAGGCAAGGGTTTTTTTGCATATCATTTACTGGACTAAGTATCTAGTTGGGAGAAATGTTAGACAAAGCTGTGGGGCACAAAGTGCCCTTCTTTAGGTGTGACCTTCACTTTGTACCCAAAAGCATGTCAAACATCTCTGCCAACTATTGTTGGTCCAATCAAGATATCACCCCAAAAAACCCTTGCTTCTCTCATCATTCTTGGACGATTATGACTTTAACACCAGTCCAATGTTTCCTTGCTAGAACAGCCAGAAGAGCCCATAGCATTACTGCTTTAGTGTATAAAGCATTAATAATTTTAACACTTAAATATTTAGGACCTCACTATAATGCACATTCCCTATAGTAAGGATAATGTACAGACAGAAGATTTTTGGAATGTATCCCTGACATCTGTTCAAGGTCAGATAAAAACTCACTCTTTTTTTTTCATACTCTTCCCTTGGCCATTTTCCTGGTCATCCACTTTTTTCTTGTGTTTCCTTTGTTCCATTTACACCTAGGCCTAGTATACATGTACTTCGTAAACACATGCATACAGCTGGGTAGGAGCGTACATATATACAATTATTCAGAATTACATTTATGATGTATAATGTCATGAATTGAAGGCCCAGTGAATTATAAGCGTCCATTTCAGAAGAAAGGACACCTCCCTTCTTAGTGGAATGCAACTCCTGGCTTTTGCCCTGCAGACCTAGAAGATCTTGGCTCTGATATTGGAATTTCCTCTATCTCTGTTCAACTGTATGCACAGGAGAGGTCATGCTGAAGTCAATGGGGCTATTCATCTACATGCAAAATGAGGCAAATATGTGTAAGTCCTCACTGGATCAAAGCCCTTCAAGAAGTGATAGTTTATGTGAAGGCAATGCACGTAGTCCTGTGAAGGTAATAGGCATGTGATTGTGGAAACACATGATACACTTCAGTCAAGTAAGAAATGAATTTATCACAAACCTTCAAATTGCACTGTTGGACAGAGGGCAAGTAAAGCAACTGGCTTTCAAGGCAAAGGGTTATAAAAACACCCCAATAAAATGTTCAATTTCTCTCAAAAACATTCCTAAAATAAGTTTTAGTTTGGTCTGGGGTTGTTTGTAATGTCCACAGCAAGCATAGATACAAGATGGTATGTTTAGGATAACCTACATACAATGCCTGCAGATTTGTTATTCAAAATCACAGATCTCTTCTAGACTTCTGCTGATAAACTTTTATAGCCCAGTAAGCTATTCTGAATCTCATAATCTATTTGCCAAATAAGATGCAAACCATGGATACAAAATTTTCCTAAATTGCATTTCAACTTCTCCACTTGGCACAAACAGCATGGAAAAGGTAAAACGTGTGTTGCCGGCTGAAACATTGAAGCTAATTATAAAGCATTATATCTCATTTAACTCCTTTCTGTTTGTGTGTTTAGTGAGGTATCCTGCTTTGCTAACTATGGCAATATAAATGGAGTCTGAAATACACAACTAGACTCAATACACAGATAGCTTGGGAAGATTTCCCAAGTCAAACACAAATAGACTATTCTGAATTCAATATTTTGTAATTTTTTTTTGGCTGATAGATAAATGGTGTGTTTCCTAGTTCTCTAATTAGTTACAGTGAGGCTAAAAACATAAGATATATGAGCATAAAATTTAATTTTCAAGAAACTTGAAGAGTCTAATATATTAAGGTTTAGGCCCAATACACAATTTTCAAGTCATATGTTTGTTCGTGTGTGTGTGTGTGTGTGTGTGTGTGTGTGTGTGTGTACACACACATAACATAGGAAGAAATTAATTCAGTGAGAACAGAGAATCTTTCCAAAACTGATGATAATTTTAATAGCAGCTATAGGGTATTTCTTTACAACCACACTTAGTACTACCTTGGTGGGTGATGCTCATTACAGTTATGGAGAATCTTTGATCTAGATTTTGGATATAAGTAACTCTATATAAGTAAGCAACTCTATATAATTCTATGTAAGTAATTCAATATAAGTAATAGAAGGACACAAGATAAGGTAACAGTCAAAAGCAAAAGAAACAAACAAGTATTTCTCAGGTCCCAGTAAAAAACAAAAGTTTGGCTGACAAAGGAGGAGAAAACAGACTGCTAAACAAAGAGGGTTTAGGGCAGGGGTGAGGAATTATTTCAGGCAGAGGGCCACTTACTGAGTTTTGGCAAGCTGTTGAAGGCTGCATGGGCAGCTCCACTCCTTGACAGCTGCCCTGCCCCCTGGTCACCATCTAGTGACTGGAAGTCCCGCCCCCTAACCCCTGATCTTTGCCACCCAAAGTCCATCCGCCGTGTGCCCCAGAAGTACTCCTTTCAGCAAGCAGGTTTACCATCTAGGAACCAGAAAAATACCAATTATATTCTAAAAAGGAAACATCTAAAACATTCATTAATTTGATTTCAGAAAATATTTTTGTCCTGGTTTACATGTGTCTGTGTAGTATACATAGAGGTGATTGT